AAGGAGTGGTGGGAGAGAGAGATGGGGTGGGGCGAGCTAAAACCGAAGGGCATTTATAAAAGGGCCGCTGTGTAATCAAGAAAATTTGACAAAATTAATATCGACTACAGGTTACAAAGCAAATATACACATAAAAAATATAACGATTATCCGTATGTATATATATTTCTATGTTCAAAAACACATACGTATATACGCATACACAACAACATATTTATATTTACACGTACATACATACATAGAGGCGTGTGCACACATACCCACACATATCTATCTATCTATCTATCTATCTATCTATCTCTCTCTCTCTCTCTCTCTCTCTCTATATATATATATATATATATATATATATATATATATATATATATATATATCCATACACATCCACTCCTACATATATACACATTTACACACATATATACATACGGGCATACACATACGTGCACATAGACATATATACATAAAACCTTACACATCTCCATACAATTACATACACACACCCATCTAAACAAATAAACAGTGTATCCCTCTATCTATCCGTCTATGTATACATACCTAAACATACACACACACATATAAACACATCTACATACACATCTACCTACATATACATACATCCATTTTTATGTATATATATATATATATATATATATATATATATATATATATATATACACACATGTACGCACATATACATATGTATATATAAATCAAAATGTGAAATTAAAAAAAATTTCTCTCAAAATCAAAAAATTAACAAAAAAAAAAAAAAAAAATTTGGGGACCATATCCATCCGTATATGCATTTAACATATAAAAATATACGGGTGGAATTAAATTAATTTATACTTCAAGAAAATTGAGGAAGACAACGTTAAGAATATTAAAAATATTAAAAACCGGCTGAGTGATTAACGCGTATCTATCTCTTACGTTTACATATATACTTAGGTATATAAATATTATATGACTATCTGATTTTTCATATCAGTTATTAGGGAAAACTTCTACCTACATGCCTATGTACACATATATCACCACATGAATAAAGATTAACAAAAAAAAAAAAATTAAATACATAGCGCATCACATAAACATACACAATAATACATAGATAATCATAATAGTCATTCCATTAAAATGTCATGCCCGATGTTATTGAACCAAGATGGAACTGACACAAGTGACAACACGTTATAAAATCGTGTTTATGTTTTGAATCGTTTCTTATGTCTACATTTAGAAAATATCTCATTACGAAGATTTAGCAACTCATCTTGATTCTTATCTTTAATATTAAAATTTTTTTCCGCCATGCACAGATCACACCGATCGCGGAAGTTATTAGGGTTTTTTTTATACATATATATGTATGTGTATGTATGTATGTATATATATTTATATATTTTAGATATATGATTGCATATGTATGTGTATATTTACCACTAATATTATCTCTCTCTCTCTCTCTCTCTCTCTCTATATATATATATATATATATATATATATATATATATATGATTAATGTGAGTTAAATTTGTCTCTTAGCTGATCGATGTTACCTTCAGCAGCCCAACTCCGGAGTTTCGTAGACGGACTTGTCCGTCCACTCTTCCAATGCAGGTTGGGTCATTTTTTTTTTTAAAAACATTTTATTACATTTATATTTATTTGTTACAATCATACGTTTGTTTAACACTTTACTTATATTTTTCGTAAAAGTTTAATGTCTTAAGTGCTCAAAATGTCATCCTTCAACATTACAACATGCCTCGAACCCCTCCAGAACAATATGGCACACATTGCGACACAAATCCCGATCTACAGCAATTTCAATAACGATTTCAGTTTGTTGTTATGTTGAGAAGTCCTAAAGGACAAAACGCGTCACACGAAAAAGGTTTTTCTACTTTGTCAGTGAGTTTCCTAACATTGTTCTGGTATATAAAAATGTTTTTATAATTTTATCCCATACCTATCTCTCTCTCTCACTTAATCACACACGACAGAAGTGAGGAATGGGGAAAAAGGGCGGTCTTCTGTCTTAACCTGAAACGTAGCTATCCACAAACACTAACCCAAACATACCACAATATTCCTTACACCAAAACAAACTATTCTTACTTACCTTTCTTATTACATACACCATAATAGCTCATAGTCCCTATGAAAATCCTAACTACACCCCATATGTACAATTCATTGTCTACCGGGGGTGGGGGATTAAACAAAAATTTAAAACTAGCCCCAATGAGTATATACAATATGAAAACAAAACTATTTACAATAAACTAAACAAAATAATGGTAGTAATAAACGCCCCACAATCTCTATTTTGTGACAGAAACATCATTTAACTGGACGAAATTAATGCGAGGCTTTAATAATATAAAATCAATCATCCCCCCAAACACTCACTCAAACCCACACTCATCCAGACACAAAAACGAATACGGAAATCAAGACCTAATCGGCATCAAGTGCCACTCCAAGTCAGCCTCTTTCACTCGACACAAACGCGCAAGATTCATCCACCTTTTGCCGAATTCTGATGAAGTGAGCTGCCGCTTTTCCGTCCTAATTTTGTCTTTAAGTTGATGCTTAAAGTACAAGATCAGTTGGGAAGAAGTGAACGTCTGGCCTCCATAGAATCCCTTCTAACGTGTCGTCCAAATTACGACTCATGACTCCTAGTAAGCAAAAGAACATGTAAAGTTCAGCCTTTGTCAACGGCAGTGCCGCATTTCTACAAACAGAACAAGCCTCAAAGACAAAAAACTTTCCCTGCAGCATGTGAACCATGAGGCCTTCAACAAACTTGCACAACGGCGCTACCACCCTGAAATGAAAGAAGATTTAACCTAGGGTCTCGACCATCCCATCACAGCGTCGACAGTGGAGATTTCTCCTAGCCCGCCGAAAAAAGTCTTTTGGCGACTCAGAGGGCTGCACGAATCACCAGCCAGGTGAGTGATGCCTCATCGTTATTGAGGCATTTCAGCCCCGGCTCCTAATGCCATATTGAGTGAGCCTCCTGCTTCGTAGAACCGAGCTCGTCAATCAGCTCATCACGGATGGACCCCCTAACTCACACCTAAGTTAATGACCTACAAAACAACGCCTGAACGTTGGAGAGGCCATCCGACGTCCGTAAGAAGCGTTTGAGAGCAAGATGACATTCGCAATAGAAGGAAAATTCTGCTTGGAGTAAACGGTGAGCCGACAAGGAGAACAAGAGCCCCACTAATGACATTAATGAGGTCTAAGGAAGTGGAAGCATAGAGAGTCGGCAAAGGAGAATCTGGTAGATGTGTGAAACATAATTCCACCCTCCCATTTAAGGAAAGATTCCTCCGAGACCACAGATTAACTACAACCTCGGCTTTCCCTTGTACCTCCGACCAATTCATTTCCAACTGGATATCAGGACCGGGCCATACACCTTTTTGTGGAGATCAACTTCAGAAATGATAGCAAAGACCATGGAAGGGGTTATATGCATATCACTCAGCAGAAAAACAGTTCTAAGTGGGAAGTTAGGCAGGGATACTCCAGATGAGTCAAGAGTAGAGTTTTGGGGAGAAATTACGGACAAAGAATTCAGCTCTATCAGCAGAGGATGATAACACCTCAAATCGTTTGAAGAGGGTGTGAATAGAGTCCTTGCACTTATTTGGTACCTTATTACAGAGACGACAGTAGTCACGAGAGCTAAAGTTTTTAGAGGCTCTGAGGTGCTTCATTCTCTCAGCAAACAGGGAGTTATCTTCTTCGAAGACTCGTTTACATTTGTTATGAGCAATAGCAAACAGGCACTTGTTATGACTAGAGCTGTCAAGCTGGTATAGCCGGAAAAAGTTGTTCCTGTGTACTATGGTGGGAGGACTGCGATTTCACCTGGTACCTCCGAGAAGGGATGAAAGCATCCATTCCGGCTTTAAGCCAAGAAGAAACTTTAGGGGCGCAATTTTCAATTGAGAGGTTAAAGATGTCACTCCAAGGGCCGTCAAGAAGAAAATCCCGGAATGAGTCCCAATCAGCATGCTGGTTCCGGGAAGAGGTCTTATGGATAGGGGGTTCCTGTTTAATGGATGCTTGGAAGGAGATGTGGTACAAGTTGTCAAGAAGCGGTAAGAAATAGATCAAATGGAGAAGCATGTTGCTCGGTTTGGCTAGGGAAACGAGTAGGGAAATCCACGATTTGAGTGAGGGATTGGAGAATCGAAAAATGTAATACTTGTATACCGGAAACATCAGTACCTTTAGAATGTTTCAAACACGTGTGGTCGTGAGAAAACTCACCGAAGACAAAGATGTCCGCAGATGGATGGAGATAAAGTGCCTTTTCTATATTGTCAGCTGTTGTGTCTAATATACTGCATTCTTGGGATGAGTGGGTGGGTGTGGGGTGCGATAAAGAAAAAAGAGATAGCTGACAGAGTTTAGTAGTGAAAGACGGAAGCACATAAAATTGCCGAAAGACAATTCCTTGGCCACTGGAAGATTATCCCAGGCCATGCGTTTGAATGATGGAATCTTTTCGGCAAAGCTGAAGATACCCTGGAACCAAGAATTCATTTGTACGTAGAAATGGAAGAATTCAAGTTGGTTTTGCAAAGGGCAAAGATATCTTAAGACTTTTCCAAGAGAAAAGATAACGCGTTACAGAAGTTGGAACGGATACTACAAATATTGGAGAAAGAAAGATTGGGGGTGGGGTAAGTGTTTTTTTGTTAGTTGGTTTAGTTTATGTTAAATTTAGCACAACTAACTCAATCACAAGTAATAACTCTTCTCCGTCAACTAGTGTTTTGGAAAAAAACAATATTCTATATCATTTTAAATGTCCTTTGGGAGATTGTATCTCTGACAAATGTGACAGAGAGAGTTTGGGAAACACACACACATACACACACATACGTATATTTTTTTAGTGAAATTGGAATAGATTTGAATAGTGAAAGTAAATCAGAGCCTGGTTTATCTATATAAACGCGTAGTTATGCTGAAAAACAGACGGGCGAGCGTTGAGACGGAAGAGAGAGACGGAAGAAGCGGACGAAAGATGCAGACGTAAGAGAAAGACGGAAGAGAGAGACGGAAGAGGCAGACGGAAGAGAGAGACAGAAGAGAATTAGCTCGGGCAGGAGTTGAGCTAGAGACAGTGGAGAGTCGAGTTGGAAACTCAAGAAGGAGAGAAAGTGATGTCAGAGATTGGAACGAAGCGTCCGCTAACATGTTCTGTTGATATAAGTACCGCTGCTTCTGCTACCATGAATATTACTACTACTGTTACTACTGCTAAGGAGGAACGCCACTATAAACTTTAAGCCGTGCACAGAACTCTTATTCCCCATCGCAAGAGTCGTATGTCGTTCTGAGGCGATTTAACAACAAGTTAACACACTCTTTCTCTCTGTCCAGAATCCAGTGTATGCGTTTTTACACCTATTACTTTTCTTTTCTGTAACCCGTTTCTTTTCTATACTATTCTTTTCTGCTATATAAAAGACATTAACAATTCAATCATTGAATAGTTGTTTGTCCGGCTTTCTGCAGATAATAATTTTTTTTTTGCTGCATTCTAAATTCCTAGCGCAGACTCTACAGCCGTGTCTACATCTTCAGTCGACCGTGAATGGATGAACATTACTTCTGCTTTCTGGATCAAACCAAACACAACGTGGACAGGAAGCAGGATTAAACCAGTGGACCGGTCGAATAATCTACGGATTCTCAGGGGACCTACGGCTACTCCCTTAAGTTCGGTTAGGATGGAGTAGACACCTCAACCCAGAGAGTAAGACGTCGGAGGTTGAGGGGCTGGGGCGAAAGTGTTAGACAAAAAAGTAAGTATATGTGTTGGTTTTAACGATCACAACATTATCAAGATGTCTTACACTTCATTTTTCAAATATAAATTCTATTGCACAACATCTAAATTGACATTCCTGTCCACCTTCACAATACAGAAAAATACTTGTTGACAACAATAATATACTACACCACGAAAATAATAAACAAAAACTTCAAATTCTCGACAATCAACACTCAACAAAATTTATTACGAATGTAGCAGCAACGTGTTGAAATACATATAACAAATATCTAATGCTATTTTGCATTTCTACCAATTTCCGGTCAGCCCCCTTATATTGAAGCGCTTGTTTTACAAACAATTCCATTAATACAATCGATCAATTTAAAATTTTAAAAGAGTTATAGCATTTTTTTTTAAATCACCATCACAACTAAATGCAGATTTTGTCTCAGTTACAATAAGTCTGTCTTTGTAATTTACTCTTGAGAATGATCTTGGAGGGGATCGAAAGTACTTGGATAGGAAAAAATTACGGAACCTTCCTTGATTAATTTCATCTTAACATGAAGAAACTGATTAGAGATAAAATAGATTAGTATAAAAATAATATGTTGATATTATTCAATGAAACATGTTTGAATGAAGATATGCTGCCTAAATATACATATATATTTGTGTGTGTGTGTTGATATATTAGTTGTGTGCAAAACTATTCAATAACCTCACATTTTTTTAAATCTAGAGGCTCCAATTAAATAAAATGCTTTTTATTGTTTTTTTTTATTGTTTGATTTGTTTTCCACTGCTTTTGTAGGTTATTTAAATCTAGAAAATATATTTACACTGTAAGAATTTTTTTGAAATAATAATGTTTTTAGTGATACAAGTCTTATTTATTAACCCATAGCTGAGAAGAAGAAAAGATGGATTCATGCCTTTCCCAAGAGTATTTGTCCGTAAGTGAATGTAACGAACCCGACTGGGATTGGAACTCGGTTCTCAGATTTACAATTCAGTGTTGTTATCCCGCACATCCAAACTTACAGCACCTGATATTTCCAAGCGGTCACCCATCTAGATACTGACCAGGCTCGACGTTGCTTAACGTGTGTTTTGTGTGTAACAATTAAGGGGGCAGTGTACAAAAGTCCCATTCACGTCCACACGCAAAAAGCTAATGCGCTGACAAACTACAAAGGAAACCCTTTCTTTCCCTCTCGCTTCGCACAAATTGGTGAGGGAGAGGGCGGTGAACTACAAAGGCGACACAGTTCACAATAAGAGCTAAATTGTATCGAATCTTGACACACTGAATTTTGACATTTAACAAAAACCTCAGTAGAAGGATGGACAGCTTTACGTTTCTTTTAGTAGTACGAAAAATAAGCAGACTCTGAAATTACAGATTGAACCTACGGACTGTCAAGGATTACTCTGACCTTCCAAAGTTTACACAAAAAATATTATCCTTTGGGAACTTTTGCAGCAAACATAATTTTGGTTGTAAATATGTAATATTTATGAGGATAAAATACAGATATAGTTCTTGGCGTGTTTATAAATTGTACACTGTTCAGTTATTAACGTTAACAACGAAATATTTTAAAATAGAAAATTGTACTGTACAAGACCAAAAAGCCACTCGACGAAATGGGCTACAGAGTAAGAGGCACAATTTTTGGTGATATGCCAACATATCACCAAAAATTGTGCCTCTTACTCTGTAACCAATTAGATAACCCTAGACAGGTCAAGATTGTAGTGATCAGAGAAGAACCCTCTTGTGAATTGGTTCCACAAAGCAGCAGTTCGTGGGAAGAAGCTGCTCGAGTAGAACTTACATCTCACCAATGAAATACGAAGGAAATGAAGGCGGTTCGCTACAATGTGCGTGGCATGCTGTTAGAATATATCTAAATGATACATTAACAGACAGAATGAGAAATTACTTACAAAATAATACATATTACTTGTAATACATTCGTTCTTGCCATCAATTTTGACGGCCTATGTACACTAGTACACATATACACACACATATATGAGAGAGAGAAAGACAGAGATGGTCAATTTTAGACAAAGTACGTAGTAAAGGAATATGCAAAAAGCTTTAAGGATTTTGGCTTAAGTTTTCAGTTGTGTTTTGAAAAAAAATATTAAAAAAACCCCCAAAAAACCGCAACGACACGTCACACTTAAAAGCAAAACTACATCCAGCTGGTGAATGAAGATTTTAATATTTGTTTTATAAATTATTTCTGTCATATCACAGATGATATAACTAGCTGGTAAAGAGATTACGCTGTCAGTTGCGCAACAAAGCAAACATTCGTTTCACATAGCGCTCAATACATATTCAAAATTAATCCATGTTAGAAATATCATCTCATGAACAGGTAAACTTCAGATGTTAAAATTAATTGATCTGCACGAAATGATACTTATGCACGAAGGCCTTATTGATCGTTATTGCTTCAGGTCTGGTAACTTAATACAACCTGTCGCTTGATCGTGTCATTTCAACTAAACCAGTCCTCAAACTAATTTTTTTTCTTAGAAATAGATGTTGGCTCGGTAGCCATCAGGATTAAAGACAAGACCTGTCAAGGAGCGGATGAACCTTCTTATAGGATTGACGAATGTCTAGCACAACGGGTAGACTTCAGCTCCATAGCTATGGACGCAAGGGCACTTTGATTGTAATGGTTAGCAAGCTTGTCTCGCTAGATCAATTATGGCCGAATAACGAGTTCAGTCCTCAATGGGAGCTTCACAATTTCGGCCTTGTGTCACATCTAAGCTACATTTGGAAAAAATTTGGGTACCACGACCTGGTGCAAGATTTTCTTGCTAGAATAATTACGACTAAGTTGTTAGTTCAATCTTCACTGGGTGCCCCATACTTCTGGCCTTATGCTACATCTAAGCTATGCTTAGAAAATCCCCATAGCAATGGATGCAACGAGAATGGGCATAGGGCTTCATAGAGGTCAACGACCATGCTGGAGGGTTATCAAAATGGAATCAATGGCCACGTATCCAAGGCGAGCCTTCAAGTTCGAAAACATGGGGTTTGATCGGGACGGGTACGCCCTGTCTACCTGCCCAGGACACGCCACGCATGTAACTCCGGCTCTGGCCAGGGAAATCGGCAGCGCATTAACCCTACGACGGCACCAGGTCATGGGATTGCGGATGAGGTTTTGATGACGCGCGCGCACTGAAATAGAATTCTTTTCTATAATCCATCTTCCTCGTGATCCGGTATGTTACAGAAACAGGCAGGAGTAAAAGAAGTAAATACAACAAACAATATTTTTCAAGTTATAACATTTATTGATAAAATAAAATTTGTATTAAAAATAAATATATAAATCTATCACAATTTGTTTTTCAAACAATTTTTTTTTAATCAGAGTCAATGAATTTCATTCATCACAGCGTTCTGAAATTTAGAAAACCTTTTTATTTCAACTTCTTTTCTTACAGAAGAAAGATGATTGCTTTAAGCAAAAGCCTCGTTCCATCACTATTTCTCTGTTCAAGATCGTCAGAACAAACCCTTCAGATACAATCAATTAGTTCTGGATTGGATTTTGATAATATAACACAAATTTTTCTTAAAAAGGTAGATAAACAGCAGTGAAAAAAAATTCCAAGGTAAAATGTTATATTTTCTGTTAATTCTATTTTGTCAAAAAAAATTATCTCAGATTGTTTGTGCTACTTAGAAGCATAACAATCAAGATGTTAACGTTACACACTATTTCAAACAGTTAGGTTAGCAAGGAGCCCCGTCAATACTGGAAAGAGCAATAATAGCTACTGGACTTAAAATTATTTTGCTGAAAAAGTGAAGAGAAATATTTTACAAATTTCAATTGACGGCAACACTGGCTGCTCATTCAATGGACGTTTAATATTTCCTTATAAGGAAACAGTTAATATTACTATTACGATAGTATGAACACCGAATGTTTTAATATTAAAACATTCTAGTTGTCTAGCGATACGTTTGCCCTAATCTTCATTGGCAAATTCTGTCTGTCCGTATGTACGTCTGAAATCCTACCAACTGGGGGCACACTTACTCTTCATAGACATGCCTTTTTGGAATAAGGATTGAAAATTCTGCCATTCGTCTGGTGCTTGAATATCGAGCATTGGGATTTGTGTTCGAATAAGGAGGGAACAGTTAAAAATTCAAATTTTAAAATAACTAAAAAAAAAAATGATTTTAAAATTTTAATTTATATTGAATTTAAAGTAACATAAAAAACAATGAATTTAATTTTTTTTGTTTTTAATTCAGTTTAAAATATCTCCAAAATTTGTGAATTGAGGAAATCAATTTTATTTCTTCAAAAGTTAAAGTGAAAGGTTTCTTGAGGTGACACGGGGTGTGTGATTTGAAAAACTCAATTTTCGGTTCGACCCAAATTTGAGTTTTGGCCGGAATTGAATTTATTGTCCGAATCAGAATTAAAAAATTTTGAAGTTCCATGGAGTGAATTGAGAAATTCTTCAAAAGCATCATTACTGTTTTCTAAGCTGGACTAGAGGTACCTTTAGTTTTAGGCTGGAGGTCCAATTAACCATACGCAGAAGCTAACTTAAAAGTCCACACGGAGTGCGGCTTTTAAGTTCTTTTTAAAATAAATATTGAAAATCCGAAAGTGAATTTCAAACTGAAACAACTTCAATCTTAAGCTAATCGGTTATCTTGCCTAATAGGAACAGATTGAAGTAGATTCGAAAGAAAAAAAAAACTAATTTATCTCTAGATTTTGAATGGATAAACACTAATTTATATCGGTTTTAGTAATGCATTTCCAAATGATTAAATTAATACCTGCTCGATTCAATATTAGAAAAGACATTAGTGTTATTATCTATGTAAAATTTAAATATAACGAGAGTGCTTTCCGGGGATAAATTTAATGTGATCGATTCACGTTTCCTCGTTTATATTGAAACAATTAGCCGTGTACGTTCCGGCCTTCCCTGGGTGTCTTGTGTCCCAGAATGTTGTCTAATTTTATTCTGAGAGTATGTACATCCACTTACGTCCAGTACATTCAACTGTGTTTTTTTTTTTTTTTTTATTTTAGGATTGTTCTCATTAACCCCTTCGCTGAACTTATAAACATTGTATTCTATGCTGAATAAAAACATCAAAACCGTGGACATGGAAATTAATTCCAGACTAAGCAAGAAAATAAAAAGTGGGATAAATCAGGGGGGATAAGTTTTTATAAGTTCTTGATTCTAAATTTTTTATCCGGTCATCTCATAAAAATAAAAAAATAAAATAAATTTTAAAACATCCTACCATAAACATTTTGCACACTTTTTGCTTCTTTTCGCTTTTACTTATCAGAGTTGAGACCAATAGATTTTTGGCCGAATATAAGACTTGTATAAAAGTTTTAAAAGCTAATGTTTAGAGGGAAAAAATGGAAATTAAGTTTGAAAATAAATATCTCGTTAGACAAATGGTACAGCTCAACTAAATGGCATGGTCGTAGATTGACGCCAAGAGGGCAAATTTAGTCTCCTGTTTTGTACTTAATTCCAACAGAAAGAAGAGAGAAAGGCAGCCAACCCTGTATAAGGATTAAAAAAAAAGAAAAAAGTCTTTCGAAATTTTGAAGCTTTTCACTTTTCAAAATTTCATCGTCAAAAAAGATGCTTAAATATGTTAGAGAACAGATAAAATATTACTTAGATTAAAATATTTACGAATCGATATATCTCATCCCACACACAAATTTATAAATACGCTCACATACTGACTTGCCTTTTAAACACACTTAAACATAAATACAGTGTAACTGATGCTGTTGTATTCATTTTGGTGAATGATGATAATTTATATGGAAGAAAATTGTTTGAATTTAAGAAACAAAAAAGAATAAGTTTTAACTAAACTTAGCTTAGTCTGGCATAAGACTAGAAATATGAGTCCGCTGTGAGGATCGTATTCATTTATGGTCTTTATAACAAGTTTGCTAAATACGGCACACTGAAGTGACTGTAAGCTTACGTTACAGCGTAGGCTGACCAATAAAAAAATTGTCGCGTATTCCGTCTTGCAACCTATTGTGTCACGTAAATACGCTCAAAGTCTATAATTATATTAAAAAATGAACAGGTTTTATTTCGTGCAGGTGACTCATAAGATTCCAAACAAGGTAACAGGTTTGCTCGTTTATGACGAATGCTAAGATTTTTTTCGATATATATATATATATATATAATCTGTCTGGAATGACAAGTTCTTAAAAGAAAATACATAAGTATAAATGAAATAAATGAATGTAACTGGCGATGATACCACAAAAGTTTCCTTTATAAGAATTTCCAGTTTTTTCACTTAGACAGGCTATATTACTCAAAAGAAAATGAAAGCCAGACATCACAGAATCTTATCTTTTTCGGTGCATAAAACGCATTAATTTATAAAGAAATAGAAATAACAAAGGTTAAATGCAAGAACTTGGAAAATTCCCGAATGCATGTGTTAACTTTTTTTGTGCAACTCCTTTTACGCGCCGCCTCCCTCCAGGACGTTAGCTATCATAGCTCTCCACAACTTCTTATCCCTTACTATCCCTGTGTTCCGGTTCCACCATCCATTCACACAAACTCATTAGGTGTTATTCCATTAATTTCCCCTCTTGTCCTGTGAGTGTCAAATTCACCAGCCTTCTTTTCTCGTGTTCCAGAAATTTCAACTGTCTTTCTGATTTTAAGCGAAATGTTCTTTTCGTTCCATTTTCATTAAAACTTCCTGATTTCTCACAGGTTATGCCCAGAGAATCCTCAGCATTCTTCTGTAGAACCGCAAGTCTTCATTTCTTCTATGAAGAAATTCTCCAGCATTCACAAGGATTGGTGCTAAATAGCAGTTGAATACTTTATTTCCATCAGAATTTTCCTGTTTATTAATATATATTTGGTTCCTGGAAGGCATTTTCGTTATTCCAATGAGTCTTCCAATTTCTGTGTCACATCTCCCATCGTCTTTTACGACACTCAGTTAAACTTCTGTACTTGCTTGATTTTTGGCACCTTCAATTTGTATCCCCCCCACATCTTAAACAGTCCCGATGATCGTACATTTTATTTTAACTACGGTTCATAAAACACAAGGAGTATTTGAAACTTTTGGAAGAATGCGTTTTATACACCGAAAAATGACATAATATTGGATTCAGCCGAGAAAAAAAAATCTGCTATTGACAATACATTGCATTGGCTTAGCCAATAAAATTCGTTCGGTTTATTAAGCAAATTTTCTTTTTAATAAACCGAAAGAACTTTTTTGGTCAATCCAACGATAAAACTAACGAAACAAACATTTCGCGCTGGGAATGATCAAGCTTACAGATTTCATATTCAGTTATTTAGTTAAGTCAGAATTTGAGTGAAAGTTGTGAAATGCAGATAGGAAAAAAAACGAGTGTGTGTCAAGAGAACAGGGGACAAATGTAATGGAAGTTACCTTTGCATTTTCGTACATTGATGGTGGGAATCGATGAAGATGATGAAATTTTGAAAATAATTGTGCTTCTTAAAACACAGTTACAGTGTAACCCGGATATAAGAGAGTTGTCTGGACCGGAGAAAAAGTCTCTTATATCCGGGTTTGGTCTATTTTGTTTAGGTAAGTATGGGCTCTAATTTGGAACCAGAGAAAATCTCTTATATTCGGGTTTCTCTTATATCCGGGTTACACTGTATAACCATTTAGCCAAAACTGTCAGATGGCCAATGTTATATACACTGTATTTTCCACCATGTCACACTTGTCTATAAGTTGATAAGAAATATTTTTTGGAAAAAATTATTTTTACATGTAATCAAAGTTTCATTTTTGGGTCATCAAGGAACGAGCGTTCCGTGATTACCCCAGTCGTGTTTAAGCACCGGTAGCCTCTATCTACACCCAAGAAGAGGAGATGGAGACAAATTAATAGCCACCGTTCCATTTTGGGGACAATGGCCATTAATCGCTTATAGGCAGAAGCTAGTACTTAACACAACTGGATATTTAATCAATAGGGATTTTATTAAAAATATTACTGGGTTTATTTTATTTTATTTTTAAAAAAAAAAAATACTGGATTTTAAAAAGGGAATTTTGGGGTTAAACAAATGCGCATGATATGGTGGAATATTTATGAGTTTGGGATTAAATAGGGATCGAAATCTGACAGATTGATAAGATGAAGAACAAATAGGAAACGTTTATCAATTTAACATGTTTCAATTTAAAGGTTTGTCAGTGACTGGGATATGGAAAAAAAAAAAAAAAGTAATTCTCGTATTTTTTTTTTTTTTTTTACTTTTGTGTTGTCTGGCTTAAATGAATTGAATGCACGTGATGCATGACTGACCAACGAAAATCAAACAACACAAAATTAAAAATATCAGAATTTCCTTTTTCTTTTTCTCCAAATCGAAGTTTTAATAAAAGTGAAAAATGTTAGACTGATAAACGTTTACTATTTGTTTTTATCATATATATATATATATATATATATATATATATATATATATATATATATATATATATATATATGTGTGTGTGTGTGTGAAGATCTACGAAACAGTTGGAGGAATTTCAATAATTATAAATCCAAGATAGAAGGGATTTTTTATCTTATGTGTTGGGGTTTAGTTCCCCACTATCCCGTATGATCATTTGGTTAGTATCTCGTATATAAATGGACCAAGAAGCGATCCCATCATTTTAGAAGATGTTGACATCAAAGATCTTCTTTCGGCGTCGACGTAGAAACAATAGTTTTAACGGCGTCCGAGCGAGACGCCACTTTGACTGAAGTTTGCAGACCAGCTGCCAATTCTGCCTCTCGCATTGCGTCTTCCTTCTCCTCCGTCCAGTCGGGAATACGAAATCGAACTAAACCGCAGTCACCGCTTATATTATCACAGAACAGATCTTTCATTGTCCGGGTTTTAATTAGGTTGAAGCCAGTCTCTCCGCCAAATGTTGACGGTTTCCACCAACCCGGGCTGCAGATCGGATTCGATAGGAGTCCCTTGACGGAAAATGGTGCCCCCATTTCAATCATGGTTTGTCCAAATGGAGACTTGTACTGTCGCTTTTCTGCTATAATTCCAACGTAAAACTCCACAGCATCTATGTCGCCGTACAAGGCTTCCAAATAATCTGCAGTTTCAATGTCGCCTGTAAAATAAAAAAAATAGTTAATATTCAATAAGTCAGGCCTGTACTTGTCGAATACGCACGTATACATTTTTTTTATTATGCTTACTCTAATCAACTACAAGTACAGAGTATAAACTCAGCCTAATATTTTAACAAACGAGTTTGCTAGCCATTGATCTGTGGTGAAGCAATCGGTAGATATCGGAGTACGACAAAGAGGAAATGAGAGTCTCAAGCTCATTCGTAGACAATGTTCTGCGCGTATACAAGTATAAATGCGAAGAAAGGAGCACTAATTATTTAAGGATTCCATACCACATCCAAAACGAATCCACAAATAGAAGACAATGACTGCTTTCTCCCTCCGAGAACAGTCTACTGATAATGAGGAAGGCTATGCTGATGACGTAAGTATACATAGTTAGGATGAGAATAATTTCGGGGAAAAATACATTCTCTATCAAATATCCCAAGATGAACATTTCCAAAACAGAAACTATGAATTGGAATGAAAGCAGTGATGGTACCTATTCTGAATCCATCATAAAGTTCAAGATATGTAATTAATAATAATTTCTTTTATTAAACAGTATTAACATTTACCGCCCTGAACGTCCGGGAAATTTCATAGTAAATATGAGTCCTCCGACAGGAATAGAACAAACATTAACAAAGTGCTTCTTATACATCGGTAGACAGTAGCTCACGATATTAATACTCCATTTTTAATATCACTATGAATAATTTACTCAAATCAAGAATAAAATTATTTATATAATACTCACCAGTAAGTTCCCGGAATGATTTGAAAGGTGGAAGATTGAACCTCTTCCGATACTCATTGAATGATTGCAAACGGAGTTCTCGGCCATGTTGGATAGTCATCAAGGCGACATGAAGAGTAGCCATTCCATGATTATGATGGGTTACTTGACCTGCCACCTGCCGGGACATGGCGTCGACAAAGGTATTCATACCGTGCTTCACGAGAACCTCGGGATGAAACAAGAAATCGCGATTTGAATAGGTTGATCCATTGATGTGAATGTTGTCAGGCATCAGGGGATGCCAGTGGTACAAAAAATTGAATTCAAGAGCGATCCGGTTCTGATATTGGTACTGGTGGTTAAACAAGAGTTCCGGGTCAAAGAGAAGGTCTAAACCATAATGTCCCAAATGATCCACGTATTCTTCAATAATTATTTTTATGGTCTCACCTAGAATAAAAAAAATAAAATAAAATAAAATAAAACTTAATTTACGTAAAAAAAAAAAAAAAAAAACTCACTTCGTAGAGGGAAGCAAAACAAAGCATGGTTTATGTCCAAATTTTTTTAGATAATAATTTAGCGATACAAGTTTTATTATTTAACCCACAGGTGGGGGAGAAGAGTTGGATGCATAACGAATCAGAATTTGATAAACAAGAAAGGTGGCTCTAAACAGAGGTATCAGTTCTATGTTACAGTCAATGTATAAACAGATCCCTCAGTTTTTCTTTTATCTAAAAGGTATGACTGTGTAGCTCATCAGTATTTGATTGATGGATTGGTTCGTTTTCTTCGACTTTGCTGGTTATTTAAAACCGGAAAATAATTTTAAATTTTAAGATTTTGTTTTGGAGATAATGTTTTTTGTGATACAATTCGTACTAATTAACCCATAGCGAGTGGAGAAGAGACGGATTCATGCCCAATCAGAATTTGATAAACAGGAAATAATGTGGCTATTATTTGGGGAATCAATCTTGTATTAGAATCAATATATAAACTGATCCCTCACTTTAGGGCCACAGTAGATTTTACACATGTATATTCCGGAGAATGTAAAGAAATCTAAAAGACATGATTCTGTAGTTAATATTTGATTGACGGATTGGTTCCTTTTCTACGGCTTATCAACAATTTGCAGGTTATTTAAAGCCAGAAAATATTTTTAGATTCTAACAGTTATTTTTTGGCGATAATGGTTTTTAGGGATACAAGTCTTACTAATTAAACCATAGCTGGAGGAGAAGAGGTGGAGTCATACATTTTGTAGCGGCATTTGCGCGTAAATGAATATAACTAACCCAACTGGAATTGGAACTCGGCTCTCCGATTAACAATTCTGAGCCATTATCTACTACACCAAACTTACAGAACTTAGTATTTCTGGAATCGAAATTTCAACGTGATGCGGCAATTTTTGAGATGAGGAATTATTAGAGGTTTTATGAATCGGAACATCATTTATGTTATATATTTAGAGGGCACATAATGAGGAAAGAGGACATGGAGAATTTGACACACAAAGGACATCGTGATGGCAAGAGGGACAAAAGAAAGCAGCAATAACCTACCTAACGAGCCTGTATAAATGGTTGGCAGAACAACGATTAGAGGAGGATAGCAAAAAGACAAATCTTACTAAGAACTAGACGGGAGGTAGTGGAGGGTCATGATTGCCAATATTTGAAAGGGACACGGCATATAGAACTAAGATGAGAAATGTGGGTCTGAATAATAATTCATAGAAAAAAAAAAAAAATCAGTTCTTTTGTTTAAATTAGGTTTTTCTTTTAAGAAATTAACTTACCTATAATGATAAGTTTGGTTGTTTGGTAGAGTTGTTCATCGCCCCATTCGGGGTGTTCTTTTTTCAGAAGATCACAGACACGATTGTGTTCACGTAGAAAGATAGTCGACCACATCAATATTCCAGGAACGAGATTGAAAAATTCGTGGCCTACGGCGAATCGATAATTTTCATCAATTCTTTCATTAAACCTCATGGTAACCGGGGCATCCTTTACACTCGGTGGCCACTCCTCTCCATTAATAATCTGATTAAAAAATAAATAAATTATATATACAAAATATATTTTACACTTAAAAATCCGTTGATGAGTATATTACGGAAGGATAACGATTTTAAGGCAAGTGGTCTTTGTAAGTAAAGTGCTAAATATTAAAAAAAAAATGTCAATAGTAAATAAAAAGTTCCAATCCACATTTCACGTGTAATAGAAAGTAAATTTGTATTTTATTTATTTATCTTGCCCCGGAATTGCGAAACTCAAAGTATATATATATATATATATATATATATATATATATATATATAAAATGATATATGAAACCTTCGGCTTCGAAACATCAGCATAAAAGACAGAACACAAAAACAATTTAAGAACCTATCTAATACCTGACCAATAATTTAGAAATTTCCAGGAGGAAAATCGACCTAGATTTCCAATTCAAAAGCGTCAAACATAAAACTTTACTTTTTCCATTTAATTCCCGTGGGTTTTATATATATATATATATATATATATATATATATATATATATATATATATATACACACACGCGTCGTTTCTCTTATTGTTCTCTGAGCTGACTCAGGATTACTTCATAGCGTCTTGTGTATTTGATGTTTTTCTGAGATATATATGTTTATGTATGTATGTATGTGTGATAGAATAAAGAACAAATAAGAAGCGTTTATAAATCTAACAGGTTTCACTTTTAGTGAAGCTTCAAATAATGAGATATGGAGAAAGAATTTTTTTATTTCTGTGTTTGATTTTTATTGTTTAAGAAGGCTTCATGAGCATTTGACTCGTGAAGCAGACTTAGAATAAGTTATAGCGATCTGAACTCAACAAGAGATGACGCGTCCTTTCGAAGCTCCCCAAAATACATACATACACGTGTGTGTGTGTGTGTGTGTGTTGATCCGTGGAGCTTGCTGTCTTTAATTTTATGTATGCTTGATTTTTCTTTTGAATGTAAAGACGCGTGCAAATGAACGTTGATGATTGCTTAAGTTAAATATTTTGTTAATACTCGAGACATTCGTTTGTATCGTAAAATTAAGCAGTTTCGTTACTACGTTTAGGCTAGCATTTGGGTCTTTTGTTGATTTTTGTCAAATTTCCCTGTAGAACGCATTCTAACTTTGAAAATAAATACCGCAAAGAAATGTTCCGTAATAATGATAATAGAAATATTAGCCATTTCCCTCCAAGGAATAAGATGCCACGAACATCTTATGAATGTTGACGCCAACAGAAAAAGAAAATGGGTGGGTGAGCAAATCCTGCATTATAACTGTCATATCTGTCCAGTAAGAACATGGCTGCTACACACATTGTCAACAATATAATAGGATTATTAGATGTACAATATAAACGCATTGCTAATGATAACAATCCATAGAAAAAGAAACCGGAACAAATGGATGATCAATGGTCAGGAATTGTGAATCAGTTTTCAAATTTTATGCGAAATGACAAAACCAGGTTGAAATGAGGAATCTTACCTGAGTTTTCATTTTCCCGTCCTTGAATGATCTTAAAAGATTCTGTTCATGTAAATCCTTTCCGTAGATCTGGCTACAATCGACCTAAAGAAAAAAGAATTGAGAATTTAGCGAAATGTTTTCGCAGTTAAAATTACGGAATAAAAGCTTTATTCACACTGAAGCAGGAAAACCTATTTTATTCCGTTATTTAATTTTAACCATCAAATTAGGTTCCACTTAAAACACATTCGAAATACAGTATAAGAGCAAATCAAAAATTTTAATCTTTCTGCAGATAAAAAAAAAAAAAAAAAAAAAAAAAAAAAAAAAAAAAAAAACAATCAAAAGAACACTTTTGGAAAACATGGTTTTTATGTGTAATTTATTTTTGCTCTATCACAGATTATTTTATCCAGAATTGTTTAAGTGAATGTAGATTAGATAGGAAGTCCTCGTCTATATTTTTCTTTTTTCTTTAGTCAATGGAAAACTATGATACTGAAAGTAAATTCTTTCATCCTGACTGTGTATTTTGCATAATCATCAAATGACTGATTGATTTATTTTCTACAGCTTATCCCCCTCTTTGCGGGTTATATAAAGCCAGAAATATTTTTAGTTTGTAAATATTTTTTGGGAGATAATGATTGAATGATACAAGTTCTGATAATTAACCCATAGCTGGGGAAGAATAGGCGGGTTCTTACCCTTCCCAAGTGTATTTGCGCGTAAGTGGATATAACGAATCAAATTGGAATTGGAACTCTGCATTCCGATTAACAATCCCGAGCCATTATCCATTACACCACCCGCACGTCCAAGCTTAGAGGTACTGACCAGGCTCGACATTGTTTCCCTTCGGCTATTGTACGGAAACCGGTGTTTCAACACGATATGGCAGTAAGCAGACCAATGACTAGGTGTGGTCGGATGGTGACTGCGCAATTGAGCCATCACATATTATACATTGTTTAATAAAGTTAATGTCGAAAGTGAAAAACAGTTTTATTTTTACTTGATACATAATATATAATTACAGTGAATTATATTAAACCAATTTTTAACGGTAAATTGTAAAAGAATTTTTGAAAACCTTTATATATTTGTTACTTTTAGGTAATCTGCAATATTAATAAAAAAAGAGAAAAATAAGATCACTAACGCCATGATTTCCCCATTGGAATGCTGGTCCTCTTTGGAGATCGGTCTTGAAGAACTGATGCGTAAAATGCTGGGCTTTGAAGGCAAACAATAAATTGGTTCCCATTGGGTCTGGTTTAAATTGTTTTCGCTTAAAGATTTCTCCTATTTTGGCAATGTCAGGAAGAACTTTGGGACCTTGAAAAAAAATATAAATAAATAAAATGAATAGCAAAATTCTCTATATTTTTCAAATAAGAGTTTTCAGCTTTTAAGTTGAAGTTTCGGCCGATACACTCTTCGACATTTCGCAAGTGCATTTTGCAACTGAAGGTCTTGTCAGTTAGTCTACCACCACCCCCACTAAAAAAAAAAAAAGTCCTTCCTTTTTGTCTCGGCTACAAAAAGGAAAGATCTGGGTGTGAAGTAACATTTAACTAGCTAGTTATTCATCATTGCAAAATGTTTAATTAAATTTCAGTGAGTTGTTAATTTTAATGGTATGTTTTAAGGTTTCAGCAATACTGTGTTTTTTACATTGCCAACAATACATTTTATTATCTGCAAACTATATATCTAACAAAACATACGTTTACTCTGAAAGTATAAAAGAAAGCCATAAAATTGTGTACAAAATATATAGATTTCAGCATGAAATAATCCATAGAGGTGTTGATATGCCACTAAACAAAATCAACCAAACCATTTTATAAATTTCAATTTAATTTTTTAACGATTTTAATTCAAATTTGTGAGCTTCCAAAGATTCACGTATTAAAAAGGATTTTAAAAACAATGTAAGCGCCCACTTGCTTATTCGACGAATACTTTTATATGATCCCACATCAGTTAACTGTATAATTTGTATTTACTCAACTCCCCACAAGGTCAATTTGTGACAAGGCTGGTTTAATGTGGTGAGCCCGAGTGAGTACACACGGGCTAAGAACAAAAACTGCCCTAGCCCCCGCATCCGTCGTTTGCGCTGGAGTCGGGTGTGTGCACAGATCCTCTCTCTAGTGCAATGAGTGGGTGCGGCCTCGGCAGCTGTTCCGCATGGCCGGCACCTTTCAGTATAATTTTCGTCAGTTGCGACTCTGTCCTTAGACGGAGTCACCCCCTGAGTGCACTCTGCCCCAAAACAGAATCGCAACTGAGAGATGATAAATAGGGCGTTACAAACCACTCGAGAGAGTAATTTAGTTAATTGCATAATTATTGTCTTTAGTAATGCGTTTCCAATCCACTTTACCAAATGACTGTATAATGGCATAGCGAGAGGAGTGCGTCACGCAGATGCAAAATGTAAGCTGTTAAATTTTGATTGCAGGTGTTTGCTGAATAAATAGCAAGAAATCTGCTTTTATAAATCGTTTACCAGCGTAGTGTAGCGGTTATCGGCGTGAAATCGACGAGCCGAATTCAATTTCCAGTTTAATCACTTCCGCACTAATGCTTTTAGGAAAGGTAAGAATTCATCGTTTCTCCCCAAGCTTTGGGTTTAATAGCAGGGTAGAGTGGACACTCTAGCCTGAGAGTGGCAGTCAAACAAGAATGATAATTCCAAATTAAAACTATAGAGAAGGCAACGGAAAAACACACCATTATCTTCCCTCAGAAGAAATCAGGATAAATAAAAAAAATAAAAATATGTGGAGAACCATGATCGCTTATGCCCTGAAAGGACATTGCATAAAAATGTTTCTCTGTAGACTACCAGTATTACCTTAACACCGTAAAATTGTAATGTCGAGGTATCTGATAGGCTAATATTTATCCAGATGGTGTCAACTACAATTTCCTTAATTGACTTTATATATACTGCGACCATGAATTCTTTTGGATGACATTTAACCTCTCCAGTCAACGAAAGTGCATGATTTTTTTAACCTCTTCAAAAATGACCGTGTATAGTGTGACCCCTTTTTGGCGTAAATAAAATCTTGCACTATACCTCTTACTTGCTTTCTATTACAACCCTTCCGAGATCTCGTTTTCTTTCCATATCAGTGTGTCATCTGCGTATCTTATATGGTTATGGTTATGCCCACCGATAATGAATCCTGAGAGGGTCTCCAGTTCCCTTAGGGCAGCCTCGCTGCAGAGGTTGAATAATTCTGGTGGAGAAGATACATCCTTGTAAAGAAGCTAGTCTAACTCCATAATGTACCAAGGTAAATTCCTTGCCTATATTGTGCATGTTTTTATTATATCAATAATAATATATTATGGGCGTAGTGTGAATCACTGAAGAGATGAAATTGAAATAAAAATACGGAATCTATCTTACATATCTATAAGTCTACCATTCGTTCATGCTTAGAATATTGCTACCATATATGGTCCAGTGTTTCTGCTATGTACCTTGAACTCTTTGATAAAATCCAAAGAATAATTTGCAATATTATCGGTCCTGATATGGTGGCTCGACTTCAGTTGCTTTCTCATCGCCGTATAGTTGCCTCCCTGTGTCTTTTCTATAAATAATTTCATGGTAATTGATCAGATGATCTTTTCGCTTTTGTACCTCGATTTTATGAACAGTACTAGGCTGGCGTCGGGATTTCATCAATTTATAGTTGTACTGGCTAAATGTAACGGTAAATTCTATGCTAACAGTTTTTTTTCTCACACTTATCGCTTGTGGAACTCTCTTCCGGCTTCATGCTTTCCAGCCAACTTTAATCTGCAAAAATTTAAATGCAATGTCAATTGCTATTTACTGCCCGCCTGATTACTCTTTTCTAATTAGTAATGATTCTGTTTCTAATTCCTCCACATCCACTAACCCCCGTTGTGTCTTAGTGGCTTTACTACCTTGCTTGGGGTGAAATCGATTAAAAAATGGTTTAAACTGAAATAAACCAAAATAATTTGAGTAAACAGGAAAATTAGAGTTAAGTGTTACCCACCTGCATAAGGTTTTAGAAAAAGAACGAAGCTGAAGGCTCAGAAGAAAATGACAAATCATGTGAACAGAAAAATAAGAATTGGCTGTTACTGAAACATTTAGGCTGTCTAAAATAAGGTTGTTTTGGCAGCAAGGATTTGACAAAGGGAATTAAGAGGTGCTGGAGTTAAGTGTTATCCCTGGAGTTCTCAGCCACCCCAAAATAATTAAGGGACTGAACCAATTAATTCGGACAGGCAGTGTGAAATCGTGGGCGTTCTTTGTTCAGGAGGTTGATAAATTCTCTATAGGGTCAGGAGGAAAGCAGAAGAGAAATCAGTTCCTTTCTTTTTAGTCTCCTTTCTACACAGCCAGACGGTATCCTGACAGACTCTTTTCGTTCTAGCTAATGTGAGTTATTGCTTTTCACAGCATTCTCCTTTGTTATGGCCTCGTCAAAATTCCCAATCCCACCAGTTTGTTTTTATTCCCTTTTTCTCTTGATTTTAAGATCGTTTGTAAAGGAGCGACTTTTCATTTTTTTTTTTTTAGTAATTATCACGAGATAGTTTAAATAAGGAAATCAGATAAAAATGGCGTTTGATAAGACTCGAAAACTTACCAGCAACACCCATGGGAGTTGGACAGTCCTTAGGGACAGGAGGCAAAACTCTTGTGTACTGGGAGGTGTTATAGTAAGCGTCTAGATGTATGTAAGTCTGATCAGAATTTAAAAGCGGTGGACTATCGACAAAAAATCCTCGAGCTGAAAGAAAAAGTACAATATTTTAGAAGAATTCTTTAATATAAACTCATCTACGATACATATAACAAATGGAATCTTAACTTTTCAAGTTTCTTAAAATTAAATAGTGCCAACTTTCTAACTCCAGTTCTTGGTTTTCAAAATAGAAATTGAAAGAAAATTTTATGCATACCTAATATTTGAAATTTTTCGAATTCTAATGGGAGAAATACTTCCCAAGAAAATATCTTTATACGAGTTTTAGATTTCTATAGCGATTGCCATTTTTTTTTATATTACTGTTGGGACAATGGTCTTCCTCTTAACGAAAAATAAATAAATCTTAATAAATAAAATATACAAAAAATTAAATAAAATATACTGAGCATACATTTGATCTAAATAGTTGAGCTTAAAATTTATTACAGCATGCGAGGGCAGGACCAAAATAGTCAGCGATTGGCCAGAGTGCCTAATGGGCGTGGCATTGTGTCAATGATGGATTGCCTTTGTCTGGGTTTTGGATACAAGCCCAAAACGGCGCGAATTCAACAGAGGGTTGCAAGAATTCAGAAGCGTTGATACGTCTCTAACACCCAGGTTAGCGACCGGCTAAGACTATACGCGGTGGGACGCTGAGCCAACGTGTGACACGCGTTCATGTGACGTCACTCCTCTCATTGCCTCTTAAAATCCAAGCTACCACCTCTCTCTCCCCTGATAAAACAAATAACAAAGAGAAATGGTCCTTTTCGTTGATACCGTTTTATCTAGAAGCGTATGGACCCTGTGACAACGCAGAACGCAACAAATCGTAAGAGCTCATTAATATAAAATACTAAAAATTAAATAGAAAATCTGATCCAAAAAAATATATATATATATATATATATATATATATATATATATATATATATATATATATTAGGCGGTGCAAAAGAAGTTATACAGTAAGTATTGTACCATTATTACAATAGTGGTTCTAGGATTCATTTAATCCGGCGAGATATATTTTTGCCGAACCCTGCATATTGAAATGTTCACTGCATATACATTAATTCCGCAGTTTCAAAGACAGTAATGTTTACCGAAACACATGCACCCACTAAATAGAACATTTATAATGAGAAAATGTTTGATTAAAAAAGAAAATTAATTCCTTAAAAAACACGGTATAATTTTCAACTTTCTATGTGACGTATCTGTTCAGGACATGCGTGATCATAGCTCTCCACAACTTCGCTCTATCTGTGCGATCCATAATCACCACTCAAATCCACAAACGAGATTATTTTGAAAAAAAAGGTATGCAAAAGAGATGCTGTTATTCAGAAATTAGATTACAGACATTGTGTTTTCCAATCGACGCAGATTGGATTAAACACAAAGTTTGATCTATAGGTGATAGCAAACCTTTATTCATCCACAGAATATGTAGAGATTTACCAAAGAAAACAGGATTCCAAATTGTCCCGTTTGACCTAGGCGGTGAATCGGAAAAAAAACTTATTTCAAATCACTTCTGTCGCAAGAAAAGGCAAAGAAATATTTAAACATCAATGTTTTCCTGGTCAGATCCACATCAGTGATTGGTAACGTGTCCTTAGTTGGTTACGTGGATTCGTGACGCGAAGTGTCCTCATTTATTCCCTCAATAGTAATAACTATGAGAGACGTGTGCTTTGACTCTACTACGTTTTTAATAAACGACACAATGTAAATATTTTAAGTAAGGCGTCAAACAAAAATGTGACTAATAATTGACAGGGATTTCAATCGATTTCATTGAAATATATAAAAGCAGTACTTAATGATTCAGACGATCTTTTCTCAATTTTTCTAGCAATCGAAATGTTACAACTCATGGTGTCAATCAGGTGAGATTGAGAGATTTCTTTCTAATTTGTCCGCTATCACTCGATTCTTGCAATGTCATGTATAAAGTGAATCGATGGAACAGACAGCAGCTTTCAAAGCACTACTACAGACTATTTGCGACTGAAATGTGCAGGCAAACATCATTATCATTGTCAACATCATTAGTTGAGTTCAATTTCCCGCTTAATTGCACTCACTTTTGCACAAATCTCCTTAGGAAAGGCAGTAATCTATCCCTTCTCCCTCAATTATGGGTTAAATAGCAAAGTAGACTTTACTTTTAGGAGGCAGTCAGTCTCGGAGGAGTGTGAATTCAAAACCGTGTAAACAATGCACTAAATTTCCCAAAAGAAAAAGACGCTGTGGTGGGTCATGACCGCTTATATATTGATGAGACTCGTCATTGAAAAATATACTCATCTCACATATACCACGATAGAAAACAATTTTACATTCAAATTGTTTAAAGCCTTTGATCAAGCAAGAAAATCTGCGAATAATAAATAAGATAAAATAAATAAATAAAATAAATTTGAGCGATTAAACAGAAAGTAAACTTACATTTGTAAATATACGTCATTAGATAGCCTCGAATGAAACCTATTCGATTCAAGATTGACCAGAACCATTTAAAATGAGTGAGAAGATAATGCGTTGTATCTGGAGTCGGTTTCACGAAATTTATTATTCGCTGCCTAAGGGTCGCTGGTGAAAGAGAAAAAAACGGCGAAATAAGACTTTCATAAAGTAGAAACACATTTTGAACATAAAACAGGTCCGCTTTTAACGGTTTCAAAGAGTACAATTCTTAAATTCAGAATTTATAAATTGATACGAAATCTCAAAGAAGATGGATATAATCTCAATTTGTAAGCTAACAATTTCAAATATCATCATTTTTTTTTATTCTTTGGCACCTCGAATTTAAGCACAATACTAAATTGGCAGCTAGGCCTCATTTTACAGTTAAAATGGTTAGATGTAACCGCGAGTTCTGTGCTAACAGTTTCTTCTCGCTTCTGGAACTTCCTTTCAGTTTCTTAATTCCAGTCAACTTTGATCTTCGAAAAGTTAAATGCAATGTTATCTCTTTTTCCTTAATTCTTATTCTTTTACTGTTCTCTCTCAATGTTTTTCTTTTATTCTTTCCCATTAAGTAACGCCTTGTATCTTAGTAAATTTATTATCTTGCTTGGGTTGAAGTTATCTAAAAATAATTACTTTTTAATGTAAACTTGGGCAATTTCCCGTCGTAGATGCTGAAGGCGGCGGAAAAAAAATTCTATAAAATATGTTTCGAGAGTTTGAAACATAAGCTATTAATAATAAATATCGAGATTAACGTCGACTGAAGTCTGCCAAAACTTTCAAAAGTTCAAGGTTATCAGTAAATATATACAAAGAGAATAAGAATAGGATTCAAATAAACCAGAATACATATTTTCATGAGAAATATGTAATAAATATGGGTATGTAATCCCGACAGAGTTATAAATTATTGACATTTGGCAAAACGTTCATGAAAGTAGGTTTCGAAAATAATAGCCGATAAGGCATTTCGCCTATATGGCTTCATCAGATGGATAATAAATGTGCTGTGTGTGTATGCATTTGTGTGTGTTTAAAATAATTAAATCTTATATTATTTTTCCACAAGCTGGCGTTACTAGAGACTAAAAAGAGAAAGAAAATAAGTGACTTTAAAAAATAATTCGTTTAACATTTTATAATCTCCGCCGTATGTGTTCGATGGAAATCCTTCAAAATGGGTAGAAAATAGATGAAAGAATTGGTTTTATCCATGCGTTCTTCATGTAATAAATTTATGTATGTAATGAAATTCCCTTTATTTATATGGACTTCTGTTCTTGTTTTGGCGTGAGGAACCAAAAGTTTGTAAATATATTTTTGATACACACTGTATATTGCGCGCGTTAACAAATGCTGAAAGTTTTGCAAATATTGGCAGGTTAATAGCAATTTTATTTTGTAAACGTTGATTTGCATAGTGTTACTTATAAAAAAAAATACTTACGTATTTCACAATTTTTCCCGTAATATCCTGTTCGCGTGCAATCACATACATAATCGTCGAAACCTTTGGTCATGCAGATAGACCGATGCTGGCAGGGATTAGAACAGCAAGGATTGTATGCTGAAGTCGGAAAAATAAGGAAAAGAAATTATTTTAAAATGGCCAGGAAAGCATCTTGGAAAAATTGTCTACACAGAAAAGGCGCATTCAAAAATAGCAATCCTAATCACTGAAATGATTAGGCACTGATCTATTTAGAGATATAAGTAAATGGATATTTTACATGAATATAAAACGACGCCGACAATACTTTAGTGACGGCAAAAAGACTGAAGCAAAGCTTCGAAATGGAAATCCGTTCAGGAAAGTTTTGATAATTGGTGGGATAAATCCGAATATATGACAAATCACAAAATTTACAAGAATTATTGCTTCTCTAAGATTTTGGGGATTTAAGTATTTTCAGACAGTGTAAAAAAAAAAAAAAAAAAAACAACAAAGAACAAAACCAAACAAAAAACAAAAACAACAAAAAAAAACTTTTAGTTATATTTTCTATGATTTGATGGGAGGATTTCAGCGTGGTGTAATGATTAAAATAGTACACACAATTGCTTCACACTGCCGACAGTCGGCAGTGTGAAGCAATTGAGTGTACTGCTGAAACACCAGCAATTAAAAGATGGTATCACGCTCCTCAAAACCTGCTGATCAGAGACATTGCTGTTGGACGTAGTTTATCGTCATACCCAGGACGGATGATTGTACCAGCTTCACGTCAGTACATCTATATAGGAATATCAGTTTGATATCCTTAGTAATTTTTAATGTAGTTTTTTTTTTGTTTTTTTTTTTCCGAGCGCTTCCATAGCATATCAAATCGAATTCGTACGGAATCGATAATTTCAGTTTAAATTCCTGGGATGAGAGGTTATTTGCATTCAGACTAATTTGCGTTCCCCTTAGGAGAAACCGTCATTAGATCAGGACATATTTTAGACCAACTTGACTAAAGAAAAGTTTCGAGAATCTTTGAAGAAAGTTGCGCTTAAAGGTACTATTTGGAATTTTTTATCTGCGGATGTCTTCGTGACCGAGTTGATCTCATTCAGATAAATAATGATAACGTCTCCTCCCAGAAATTCAGTCAGAATAAATTCTAATGAAACACTATTTGTCTTGACATTAAATTTGGATGTAAATTTTACGATGTTTCACTCTCCGTATTACATAGTGGTCAATATCACAAAAAAAAAACAAAAAAAAAACAAAAAACAAAAACAAAACAAAAAAAACAAAAACTTGGCGGTTAGCATTCTGTAAAAAAATTTATATTTTAACTTTTTTATAGTGAGGTACACCCTGTACAAGGCTCGGGGCCACTCAAGATAGATAATTACAGTAAGGGGCGGTTTATGCAGATAAGAGGGAAGGTAACGGTTAATCGTCGACTTGAACAGGTTAAGATTGTAGTAATCGGAGAAACATCCTCTTGGGAGTCGCTTTCACAGAGTAGGAAGAAACTGCTCGAATGGAACTTCTCACCAATGGAATACGGAGGGAATGTATGTCGTTTCTTACAATGTCAATGGTATGCTGTGGTCCTGACCGTGAAGCTGGCGGAACAACGGAATGTAGTTCATCCGAAAACGTTCCATGAAAGTAGCAATAGGGCAGCGGGAGGTTTGCCACATCCCGCCTGTAAGAAAGAGGTTGGAGGGTGGAAAATAATTTGCCACCTACAAGGACTCTGAGACGCTTTGGGACGGAAAGAGACCGCCAAAACATGACAACAAATATGACAAATTTTAGGTCTGATCGGGCTCTTGTAAAAGGTAAAGGGTAGCACGAGGAGTCGGGATTGTTTTTAACAAAATAGTGACTACTACCTTGTGTACATAGATGGCAGATAATTTTCGTGGCAGAAACACTCATTGTATGGTTTTCAATAAGGATATAAAAATATACATGAACCCGAAACAGTTTTATAAGTTGATGGAATTGTCATAAATCGTTTAAGTTTCATAGATGAAGCATTGTTATTGTTATTACTAATTTTCATCTATTAGTATGTGCGTGTTATCAGTCAGTTATGTGTCATGCGTGATACCGGCTTAGCCAATCATGTATCTTTCGATACATAACTGACGAGGCAGATTTTTTTCCTGCAGTAGGTTGCCATTTCTTTTTGTGACCAGTTGCCATCCAAGGCTATAGAACCCGGTCTATCTTGTAATTTACCCATAGCTGGTGGGAGAAGAAGAGGATATTAGAGGGTATTAGCACGTAACTGAATGCAATAGTTTCGGCTGGAATTCGAACTCGGCTGTCCTATTCCTCAATCCGAGCCGTTACATATATAACAAATTTCCCATGATTTACCTCGAACGCTCATATCTGCTCGAAGCGTATCTTAACGTAAACAATATATTTTGTTTATACGTTATTTTTTATAGATACAAATATTTAAATAAATATAGCAAAAGAGTCATTAAGCAGTTTATTTGCAATAATTCGTACCAAACAGAATTAAGTATTATTAACACACACACACATATATATATATATATATATATATATATATATATATATACACACTCCACTCTCCTGTCTAATTCGACGTATGAGGGTCAAGCAGATCAGTTCCTAAGAACCAGCACATGAGATTTGATTTATAGTGGTGAAGAACCAAAGGCCGAATACAAGGTCCTAAACGACCCTTCTCCTAGACCAGTTGCCAACCAAGGCTATAGAACCCAGTCTTTCTCTCTATTTACCCATAGCTGGAGGGAGAAGAGGAGGATTCATACCTTTCCCAAGGTTATTAGTGCGTAAGTGAATGCAATGGATTCGACTGGAATTCGAATCCGGCTTTCCGATTCCTCAATACAAGCCGCTAACCATTAATCCACCGTATCTCCTCTCTCTCTCATACACAAATAAATATATATATATATATATATATATATATATATATATATATATATATATATATAACATTAGATGAGGTGTTGTAACTATTTGCACTATTTCATGTTTATTTTTTTTTTGTCATAACCACGATGTTTCGTGCATACAGGTGATATAGGTTGGAATTTCGAACCGAAACACGGTTTGTTCTAGATTGTTCTAGATCCACGTTATTTTTAGTTAGCCTTTTCTGGATATCGCACTTTCATTTATTTCCCTTTAGTAACTGAACTCTCCTAGTTTTGTTCAGGTAATTTCCAGGTCACTTTTTGGATTACTTCAACCAAGTCTTTTATCCACTGGGTTACATGTCTTTGGGAACATCAGTGAGTGAATTTTGGGTACTTATAAACCTAATCATGTTTTACAATTTTGTAATTGTTGTTCTCTTGCTCTCTGTATATTTAGGTTTGTCAATGTTTTAAGCTGTTTAAAGCACAAGTCTGACTTATGTTTGAAAGCTTTTGTAATTAAGTGATCATAGCGTACAAACATAAGAAAATATTAGCACTTACCTGTAGCAGCTGCAACGAGAGCGACAAGAAGCAGACAGCAAGTAATTTTATTATTCATATCTTTGCAAATGATCTGTAAAAAAACAAAACAAAAAAATCGAATTGGCGTAGGTTTAACATGAAAGCTTTATTCATATAAGGTGACCATTTTTCTTAAAGTTAGTATTTTGTTGTTGTCAGAATTTAATTTTTTTCCACTAGCCAAAATTTTAGTTTAACAATCTTCACCAATGATAATTATCAAAACTTGTACAATCCACCGTTTATGAATTCGCTTGCACACTAAGAAAATTTCTAATAATAATTCAGACAACACATTGGTTTCCCCCAACCACTACATTATCGCGGCGATTAACGTGATATTTATCTGATAATAGTTCAATTAAATCGCAAATCCTAACTAATAACACAAAAATACAATATTACATAAATATAAAAACAACTATAATTACCAGAAACATTAAGCGAAAAAACCACAAACGACCCACCCTGATTAAAATATCAAATTTAGGAACAAACATACAGAATATATTTCATTAATAAAAGAAATAAAAAAGAAGTAAAGAAATGATATTTGAAAATGAGAAACATTACGAAAGGACTTCATCCTCGGACACAGTTTTATAGAAAATTAAGCAATATAAAACAAACAATTAAGAATAATTTCCCAAACTATGTTGTTGATGAAGAAATTTGAAATAAATGTTATTCCCCCCAAAAAATAAGATAAAATAATAACAACATAAGCAACCATCTTGATATAAACAAAAATAAAGACTACACTACAGTTCAAAAGTCAGAAGCCATACCAAGAATTAGCATGGGATGAACTTGACAGAAGAGTGAAAAAAAAGAAAAAAAGAAAAATGCTCTTAGAGTTTTTTAGAAAAAAAAAAAGAAAGAAAAAGAGTGGAATCAATTATCAAACTTATACTTTGAGAAACTTTTGAAATGAATGCAAAACGTTGTGTTGCAGTAATCATTGCTAAAGGAGGATATTTTGACGAGAGCAAAATTTAATCATAAAATGCTTTTTTTCTATTTCTAATAAAAATTCACGTCTCACTTTTTGTTAACCATATATAATAATTTTCTCTTATTTAAAGTACAAAGCAACTACTTTTGGGGTCAATTTAAAAAATTAGCAGGGGTGGCTTCAAACATTTGAACTGTAATATATATATATATATATAAGCAAGTGTAAATGGATATAAATCCGACAGAATGAAGAAATTTTGAAAAAAACAAACAAAAATGAACTTAAAAAAAGTTAAATGAAAGAAATGCATCGACATTTCTTTCATTTAACTACATGCATTAGGTTTTTTTTTATTTTTTCAAAAAATATATATATATATATATATATATAAAGAAAAATTTGGTAAAAACAAACAAAAATCCTTAAATGCAAATTATGTTGTTTAAAATGAATGAAATGTCGACGTCTGACGTTTCGGTTTAATAAACCTTTTTCAAGACAATATTCATTAAAATACAATTCAGTTCAATTTGACAAAGACGATGGACATAAACAATAAGTCTTATCCAAAACAGATAACTGAAAATTTTAAAATGATCAGCTTTCCGTTTAGCATGGTCACGTTGTCGTCACATGGCGACGCTTTTCAAAACGTATTCCTAAAAATTTTTGATTATTTTGAATGAAAAAGAAAATGAAAAGAATTCTATTAGGATCTAAAATTTTTATGTGTATGCTTGTCGAGCATTGTATTTTAATGAATATTGTCTTGAAAAAGGTTTATTAAACCGAAACGTCAGACGTCGACATTTCATTCATTTTAAACAAACATAATTGCATTTAAGGATTTTTGTTTTTTTTTTTCCAAATTTTTTTTTCATTCTGTCGGATCTATATCCATTTACATTTGCTTACATTATATATATATATATATATATATATATATATATATATATATATATATATATAGTGTAACCGGATATAAAAAGAGTTGTCGGGACCGGAGAAGAAGTCTCTTATATCCGGGTTTCATCTATTTTGTTTAGGTAAGTATGGGAACATTTTGGGACCAGATATTTTTGTTGACATCTTCAAGCGAATTTTTTTTGGAATTGCGTAAATTTCAGGAATTAGTTATTCCAAAAAAATGTCGCTTGAAGATGGAACAGAACTTGGTACTTTAATTCTATTTAATTAAAATAATTATATTGAAGTTTTCGGCTCTTGTTTTGAAACATGAGAACTCTTATGTAGCGATGGAATCATATTTTTAAATAAATAATTATATATATTATATATATTTGTATACTCTATACATATGTTCAAACAGCAAAGAATATTCTCCATAAACCCAACCGATCATAATGCCCTTAAAATATGGGGGGGAAAATTACTTTCCAATTTAAGGAATAGTTTATATATAAATAACAAAGTACAGACAAATGTGTATGTGTACCGCGTTTGTATACACAGATGTGTATATGTGCACGTGTGTATATCCATATAGGTAAATGCATGTGTATGTATGTGTGTGCGTAAACGTATGAATGTAGATATATACATACAAATTCGAACAATAATAAATAAAAATTTAATTATAAATCTAAACATTTACAATACACTAATAGTACATCAGATAACACGAAATCAGATAACTAAATAAAAGCCAAGTGAAGACATGTATAAATATAATTAATTATATATTTGAAAAATGAAATACAATTTTCCTAACTCAAAAAATAGAATGGGTAAAAATTAACTTGTCTAGAAAAACCGGATATTAAATGATAACAATTGAAAGAAAAAGAGGAAAGAAAAAGAGATAAAAAGGTTAAAGAATAAGTGGAAAGTGGAAAGAAAAGGACGAAAAGGACAAATAATCACAACATTTTACACATACACATCCGCGCAGACAGGCGCACACAGACTATGATTAAAAAAAACGTAAGTGTAAGAAGTCAACTGCTAAGGGTCCGTCTACGAAATCCGGAATTCTGTAAGTAACATCAATCAGCGAAGTGGCCAACATTTGTGCGTGTGCGTGTGTGTGTGTGTGGGGTGCGATGGATAAATTGTCATCTAAATTCCACAAAAATTAAAATGACACTGACGTTTCATCTTAACATATATTTACCAAAATTACACCAAAATATCTTGAAGTACCAAAAAGTAAAATTATTCAATAAAATCACCATTGGTTTCAACCAATCACGGCCTCTAGACGACTTCGGAATCTTCTGCAACTCTTCTGGACGGTTTAGACTGGTGAATGCTGCCATAATCCTTGCTTTCAAATCATCTTTGGTGTTACAAAGAGTTTTGTTGGTCTCTCGCTCAATTGCACCTCACACAGAATAATCAAGGGGGTTGCAATCTGGGGAGTTAGGTGGCCAGATCTAAGGGGTGATGTGGTCGCAGAAATTGCTTGACAGACAAGACTGGGTTCTCCTGCTTGTGTGGCATGGTGCCAGACATAGGGTCTTCCAGCAGCCACCTTTTTAACTTAGGGCAAGACATGATGTACGCCTCTATGTTGAGTCTACGGCCCTGTGGGAAGATGAATGAAGGCATAATGTCACCATCACTATTGATTGGATATATCAACCACTTCTTTCTGTACTGTCCCCAGATTGACACCCAAACACTCGGAAATGTTTGTATTGGAGCTTCCGGCGCAAATGCCAAGCAGAACAACATGGCGTTTCTAAATTGCGTCAATTTGCTATTTTTCTCACAGACGGTTCCTAACTGAGCCAACTGAACTGTGCAGTCGACAAAATCAGAAAACAACGCGCATGCGCGAAATTAAAAAAATATATAAAATGGCGACACTTTATCTATCGCAACCTTATATAAGTTTATATTTTAGATAGGGATGTGAGTAAGTGGGGATATTACCGGTCATAGCTAGTTTGGTATTTTTACTCTGTAAAAATGATAATTTGTTCCATAATAGTTGTGACATTTAAACAACCATTATATTAATACAATTGTTACAAGCAAGAGGCAGTCGACTACCAAGGGAAAGGAAGACAACGCTGTTACAGTCTTTCAAGTAGTGAAGGCTGTCTTCAGTTTTTTTTACAATTATGTTCACCCTGTCGAAGGACCGAGAGCAAATCAAGGTAGAGTGATAGAGAGTAAGAGGCACTGTTTATGAGCATGCGTGGAGAAGATAACCGTTAGCCCTAGATTTGAACAGGTTAGGATTGTAGTGATCGGTAAAGTGTCCTCTTGGGAGTCGGTTCATCTCAGCAATGGAATACGAACAGTATAAGTGTGGTTCGCTACGATATGCGTCGCATGGCGCGTCCTAAACGTTGAAGGTTAAAGTCGGTGGAACTAAGAAATGTAGTTCGTCTGAACGCTGTCCATGGAAATAGCGACAGAGCAGTGAGAGGCTTGCGACGTTTCGTCTGTGGGAAAGGGGTTGTAGGGTGGGAAATAATTCGTCATTTAGACGTTTTTGGATTATATAGAGACGAGAGGCTGAAGAATGGACAGCTTCTACCTATATATGCAATCGGTACTCCATTTTGGGGCCTTATTTGACTCTTGTGAATGTAGAGGATAGCAGGAGGAGTCAGGTACTTACTGGTGAGGTACAGGGAACTGAACATTTTTTTCAGTATCTTTAGCAATGAAGTCTTGGGTTGAGCTTAAGTCCCAAAATTCTAATTCAGGATTTACACTAAAACTGGTAAATGCCAATACAGACTACAGTCACGAGTAAGTCATGAATTAGTTTGAAAGAAACACGTCAAATTACAAGTGAAGCTGTATGTGCCACATGACTTGTTGATAAATAAAAAGATGCACGCTGATTTGCTGTCATTATAAATATTTTGAAATATATACGAGAAAGAAACAAGTATACTATTTACATTATTCAGACTATTGTCCTCATCTTTGTTGCCATATTTTTCACAACGTTTCGACCGCTGTGCTCTCCGGCCTTCTTCAGGTGGTTGGAATGTCGAACTGAACCCTTTATTTCGCTCTTTTGGGTAGACTGTTCTCGTTCCACGTCTAATGGATGCCAGTTATTAGTTATCTCCTGTTAATTCACCTCTCCAAGT